TCCACAAATGCCAGGGTATTAGAGGAGGATTTTTGTTAGACTATTTATTCCCTAACCTTGCTTCCAGAATACTCCTCTCTCTCCTTTTATTAAAGCAAATGAACCAACCAGCCAACTCTACCAGCAGCAGTCATCTTGGTAAAGGAGAAAACCTTAGAATGAAATCACATGTTAGCAATGGGTAGGGCAAAAACAAAAAGAAAAACAAACAAACAAAAAAAACCCAAAAAAACAAAAAAACAATGGGTAGGGCAGGAAGACAGGACAGCCATCACGGAGCACCAGACAGCCTACCCCAGATGTAATTTAGGGGAAAGAAACTGAATCATAAACACTTGAGTTTTCCACTAGATGCAAAAAAACCTAATCCTAACTGACAGAGGTGGGTTAACACACTACCTTATTTATTTGAGCATTTCTTTTTTGTATTTTACCTTTTGTATTCCACAGGGATTTTGAGTTAAATTTGACTACCTTCTGGAATGTTTAAATCATAGGGCAAGAAACCGAAGCTGACAAGAGCATGCTTGCCTTCCTGGTTTTGTATCCACAAACCCAGAGGTCCTTCCAGAGACTGTGGTCCCTTCCCAGAAGGTAATGAGAGGAGGGGGGAAGCAGTGAAACAGAGAAGGGGGACCCTCCAAAATAGGCCAGGGTTGGAGGTCTGTAACTGTCTGCTGCCTGGCAGTGCCACGGGCATCGGTAGGACCCCAGAGAAGCTACAATGACGCCCAGGGGCTCCCAGGCTTGCTGGAGGAGTCCAGATGCTGGGTTGGCAGAGGGGTAGCAAAATCACAGGACTCCAGGGAGCTTGTGACATGGACATGTGAGAGGTGAAAGGCCTCTCTGTTCAGATCCCACATAAGCTCCAGCTTCTGGTTTTACCCTGGAATGGGGACCCAAGAGCTACTATCAAACATTTGGCCAGCCAGGCTGGCTGAGGGTCTGGGGTCAGGTTTGTTTTAATTTAAAGAAATAGATATTTCCTGCATAACTGAGATTCATGCTTCCTGTACTATCTTTTATGAAATTTGGTACTTTATAAACATCAAATTGCTTGTGATAAGCCTTACATGTGGTTGCAATGAATCTCAAGATGGTAAGAGAACAACACTCATTTCAGGGAACGGCGATCCCAAAGCCAAGCGCCTGTGCCCCTCTATTCATCACTGTGTGAGGCTGGATCTTGCTTTTTCCTCTCTGAGGGGCCACTTCACACAGATGCCACTCTGTTCTGTGCAGGATAGGGAAGGAATTTCTGCAGCTGTCACAGCTCAAGTCCACTCCCATCTTTATAAAACCCATTTTGTTTGGATGTTTTCAAACTCCCCCAACATAAAAAACAAAAAAACAAAACAAAACAAAACCCTTTAATTGCTTTCAAAGGAAAGGCTCCCTTGAACCATTTGGAATTAAGGGGGCTCATTTCAACTGAATGTTAGTTGTCTGAGGACAGGGGTCCCTGAGAAATGCTGAGCCAGTCTGATCCCAGCCGGCAGAGCAGACCCTTATAACAAGTCTGGGAGATACTTGATGGGAGTTTTTGACAAAATAACGTTTCAAGCTTTTGACATCGAATTAAATAATGAGTAAAATATCTGGGTTATCACTCAGGGAGACTCTCTCTCCCCATCTCCTGTTGTTATCTTTTAAACTTTGTCTAGGGTGAACAAAGGCCATCAGCCTGCTCTCCTGCCCCCGCAGGGTACAGATGTTTCTCTTTTACTAATCTTTCCTCCCTGAGGTGACGCTTGCGAAGGGAGGGAGAGCACTGGCTCAGTGCAGACGTGGGACCCAGGCCAGCATCTAGCAGCTTTGGTTCACCCGCTGCAATGGGCAACGGGATCCGTTAACTGAGTGGTACCTGAGGAGAATGAGCTTATTGGTAGCAGGAGCACAGAGCAATAGGTCTGTAATTTGGAAAGACAGACCAACTCCTAATTGGTAAAAATACTGGGGAGGTCACTAGAATGAAAAAGAAAATGACTAACTCAGTTATGGACAATTACTAAAAATTATATTTGGAGGGATGCCCAGGTGGCTTAGTGGTTTAGCATCTGCCTTGGACTCAGGTCGTGATCCTGGGGTCCTGGGATCGAGGCACGCATCGGGCTCCCTGCAGGAAGCCTGCCTTTCCCTCTGCCTATGTCTCTGCCTCTCCCTGTGTGTCTCTCATGAATAAACAAATAGAATCTTTAAAAAATAAAATAAAATTAAGTTAAATTAAAAATATTATTTTCGGAAACACCAAAATATTTTGAAGTCTCTCTTTTTAATGTATTGATTCCTATATGTAAAAATGAATGTCACATCAAATTGGGTCTGATGGGACATTTTACTGGCCTTTAAAACTTGATCAGTTTGAAACATTAAATTCTACAAAATACTTTGCTAGTATTTATATTTCCTAATTCTCATTGGAGAGGCAGGACCTTTGAGAGCCAATCTTTACCAATATGACAACTCATTTATCTGTAATTATTGGGGATGTTGTTGATAAGTATGAAGTCATCTGAAAGTTAGATCTTACATATTTAAATTCTGAAATTTCTGCAGCTGAATTGTTTTTATGGTTTTAATTTTATTTATTTATTTATGTATTTGTTTATGTATTTCTTTATTTAGGGGGGAGAGAGAGGGAGAGAGAGAATCTTAAGTAGACTCCATACCCAGCACAGAGCCCAGTGTAGGGCTCAATCTCATCACCCTGAGATCATGACCTGAGCTGAAATCAAGAGATAGATGCTTAACTAACTGAGCCACCCAGGTGCCCCAAGATTATGTTAATTTTAAATAGAAGGCCTCAAATGTAATTTTACCATTCTTGATTCAAGGTCACCATTACTGCAACCAGTAGCAGTGCTGTAATGTGACAAACAGTTGTTCTTTGGGATCACTGATGTTTGCTGGCCTTTCTGCCTTGGCACCAGGGGCACCAGGCTGGTCAGAACAGGCTGCTGAGCATCTCTCCATGTGAACATTACTAGCTGAGAAGAAGCACGGGCTCAGATGCTCTACCAAACCCCCTCAAAGGGAAGTGAACATTCCTTCCAACTCAGGCTTTATCCGCAACTTACTTCTTCAGCCCACGAACTATTTCACATGTTAAGGGACCAAAGACCAAGCTTATGAATCTACAGTCAATACATATTTATTGAGAATAAGGCATGCATATCTTGAGGCCTCTAGTTCAGAGCACAGTGAAGTTTCTCTATAAATGTTGACTGATGAAACATGTGTGAGTGTGTGTGAGAGTATATGTGTGTGTGTGTGAGAGAGAGAGAAACAGGGAGAGAGGAAGAGATATACAAAACATATAGTAGCAATGCTCCATAAAACAATGACAAATTTAATGTTGGTAGCATAAAAGATATTAGGGAGAAAGAATTTTTAGAAGAGTATTTAGACATTATCTTAGTCTTTCAACAAAATTAATTTTATATATGCATGTGTTCCTTTGCACAAATCAAATATCCCAACCTTATTTTTGTATCTAATTCCAAAAGGAAAAGTATTGAGAAAAAAATGTTGAGTAGCCTTAAAAATAGGTATTTTCATATCTCAAAAAAGAATCAGCACAGTTAGGAAAGCTGAGGAGTTTTATGTGTCTCTTTATAATCTCTAGATAGGTTGAGAAGTCCAGGATTATTTTTCCAGGATTAAAAGTTCTATAGATCTGCTGGTGCTTACAGTCTTGGATCATTCTCATATTAGAAAATGTCCTTCCTTAAGTACACTGGAATTAAAACGTGTTTTTTTGTGTCCCTTTAACAAAGAACAATTTGGCCAGTTTCTTAAAGATACTGATTAAGCTATCTCTTAACTCTACAGGAATCAGCTTCTACCAAGTTCCGATAACTGGGCTAGACTTGTTTTTGTATATGTGTGTGATGTGTTCTTTGTTGGGAGACCGACCGACTGACTATGTGCTAGACATGGTTGGAGCATGCAGGGAACTGAAAGTACAGAGGGGAGAAGGTGGATGTGTTCACAAGTGACTCTGGCAGATGTGGTAAGTGCAACAATGCACACATGCTCAAAACTCAGTGGTGGAAGAACAAATGGCGATCTTGACTCTCAACGGTTACGTGTTCATTCTCAGGGCTAGTCCCTTCTGTGTGAGCACAAGCCCAGCAAAGTCCATCCACCTCGGTCGTCTGTGGTCAAGAGACCCTTGAATGTCAGGGGAAGGAACAGGTGACCACCAGGAGTCAGGCACTCAGTTATTTCTGCCTTAAGTGTTTTGTACCCATTAACTGCTTTCATTCTGTAGTACTGTGAGATAATAGAAAAAAAATATGTACATTGGTCTCTGCCCATTTCCTGGCAGAGCTCCTCAAATCCTTAGAATTTCCTAAGTGATATGAGCCCTAGAAGCACCTCGTGTTCTGGTATATGGCTTTGACCTCATCCTGACTCCTAAATCCCTTGTAAATGTCTAAGTGATAAGGGAACTAGGAACATCTTTTGTTCTAAGGAGGTGACTCTGGGTGGGCTGCTGGATGGGATGGGGACTAATCACACCATGCTGTGATGAGATGCTGGAATATCGCACTTTGGAAGTTCAGGGGAATTCACGCAGCCTGCATGTGATTCAAGACCTCACTGAAGATAGTTGATATATTGATATACCAGAAGTGCATTGCTTCGAGATTTTTAGATGCCAACGTGTGGAAAGAACCGTAATGAGAACTCAGTGTTTTGAGAGTCAGAAATTGTGATTTTGCTTTGGTCAGCAGCAGCTTGCTCTATGCAGTAACCTCTCATTCTTTACTCTGCACCATCTCCATCTATCAGCCTCGGAGCATCCCAGCTGCCTACAACTCAAACCACTTCCGGTAAGTCTTCTATTGCCCTGTTCTCTTCAAATACAAGCAACCCTGGGAGTCACCAGGATGTTTTGAGCACCTCAAACCCCAGGCACCGATGGGAATTTCCCGCTTCAGCAAAATGCTCTGAATACCCTTACCGGCTGTTCTAGCCAGGGCCCGTTTACAAACCTGAGCAGAAGGTAGAAGCGAAGTTCTGGAGGGCCGAGTCCACCTCCTCCACGCCGGGCAGGGCCAGCAGGCGGGGCAGGAGGCTCTCCAGGGACTGCAGGAACAGCCTGGCGCTGTGCTGGTCCGCCTCCTGGTTCTTGAGCAGTTTCAGGGACAGAGCGGCAGTCCGCAGGGACCGGTGGCCCAGGCAGTCCCGAGGGGTCTGCTCCTCATCCGCCAGGGAGCCGTTGTCCGACCCGATGTCCGACACGTCCGACCTCCCCGAGTCCTTCTCCGCGGCCATCGAGTACTGGTCACAGGAATCGAATTCTGTCCGCGAAAGGTCCTGGTCATCGACGCTGAAATTGCTCTCGCTGTACCTGGAGCCGAAGGGCCGCATCCTGCAGTCCACCGACAGGAAGTTCGTTATGTCGGGGTACGCGACCGTGTGGCTTCGCTGCACCACGTCTGGCTGGTCCACGGCCTCGGGCTCCGGCGCCTTGCCCGGCGGCTCCCTGCTCTCGGGCACGGCCGGCGACTTGAGGCTGCTCTTGGGGTGCTCGGGGCGCTCCTCGGGCGTCGTCCGGCCCAGCGCGCCCTCCAGCGTGGTCTGGCCCGTGTCGGTGGTCACGCTGATGCTGATGTCGGGGCTCCTCTCGCTGCCCGGCTCCCACGGCGTGTGCTCCGAGGACAGGACGCGCCGCTGCCAGCGGAAGTCGGCCTCGTTGATCTCCATGGAGTCCCGGCTCCACTCGGCGCCGTCCTTCAGCTCCTCCAGGCGCAGCAGCAGCAGCTGGGCCTGGCCTTCGCTCAAGCCCTTGCCCTGGCTGAGCTCGTCCAAGGCCCCGAGCAGGGTGCAGACGCAGGACACGGCGGCGTAGCACGCTTCGATGCCGCCCTTGATGCACGCCTCGGTCATGCCATCCATGATGCTGCGCGTCCAAAGGAGAGAACGAGAGCGTAAGAAGCACTGGCGAATGCTCCGCCACCAACCAGCCGCGATAGCCCGGTCAACCGCACACTGTTCACGACAGATCCTCTGAGCTAGAGGGGCTACACGGCCTGGGCCAAGGGTGAACGAAACCAACACGCGCAGGCTGGCCCAGGACAACACCCAGGGAAAGCGGCCCACCTTGAATCCCATTCTCTCTTGGTTGGAGGGCTTATCTGGATACACACAAAGATTCCAGATGGGAATTTGTCATCTCCACAAGGACGGGCACTGAATAATCTCACTTTTGTGTTACGTTCAGCTTTTCAAAAAGAAAGTAGCTATAATGGCTATATGATAATGAGGACACCCTCCCTAAAAATAAACAGGTTCCCGGTCAGATGGATGTGAATACAACTATCGCAGATCAGATAATATTCAGTTTTTGGTGGTGGTGGTGGGGCTACGTGAAAGGCAATCTTACAGTTATATAGTACTGTGATTCATAAAGTTCTTCCCTAAAATAACCCCAATGAATGATTGCACATTTCATTTTGCACCCTGGGTTTATGTTAAGTCATATGAAAATATGGAAAGTACGTGATTATAATACATTGAAATAAGGCCTCTCATATGGCTTGTGGGAACATTATTAGTCAATAACATTCCATAAAATGCAGGTTCATAAAAATTTCAGGGATTTAAAAACAAGGTCAAATGTATTCAGAGCAGCAGTCTTCACCAAGCAATAATAGATGGAAAAGGGGAATGTAGCATACAGTTTGAGAAGATCCAGATGAGACTTTCTTTTTGAAATTGATCTTTTTCTAGATTCTGATTCAGTGGAGCTGGGTCCTGCCAAATCACAGAGACGCTGTGGGCTTCCGAGAAGCTTTAAGAAAAAGGAAAAAAAAAAAAAAACAAACCACAACAGTACAGTATCATAAAAAAGCACAAGGTTTTAAAATTGTGAGATCAAATAAGCATGTGATACACTCTAAAGAAAAAACACAACCATCTGTAATTACAAATCTTAATAAAACTGATCTAGTATTCCTCTTGTCACCAAGTACACATTGGGTTCCTAGCTCCACATTCAGGACTGCCTTAGACAAAGCAAATTCTCTAAGGGATTGTTTCAAAAAATTTTATAGCACATAACTATAAAGCACTTGAATCTATGGTCTTTACTGAGAATGGCCTATAATTTAACATCCCTGTACTCTGTCTCATTTTGCTATCAAAGCTGGTTAGCTTCAAAAACTGGACTGATCAAGTGTATGAGGAACATTCTCCAGGACAGATCATGTTAAGGCACAAAATAAGTCTTAAATTTAGATAACTAAAATCATATCAAGCATATTTTCTAACCACACTGACATGAAACTAGAAATTAATTACATTAAAAAGTAAAAACCAGAAAGTTCACAAATATGTGAAGATTAAAGAACATGCTACCAAAGAACTAATGGGTCAAAAAAGAAATGAAAAAAAAATACCTTGAGATCCAGGAAAAAAAAAAAAAAAAAAAAAGGATGTATAACATCCCAAAATTTAAGGGATGGAGCAAAAGTAGTTTTAAAAGTTCAAAGCAGTATATGACTACCTCAAAAAATAAGAAAAGTCTCAAATAAACAATCTAGTGTTATACTTTAAGTAACTAGAAAAAGAACAAGTGAAGCCCCAAGTTAGTATTAGTAAGTAAGATTACAGCAGAAACAAATGAAATAGAGACTAAAAAATAGTAGAAACGATCAATGAAACTAAGAGTTGGTTCTTGGGAAAGATAAAATTGACACACCTTAGGCTAGACTCACCAAGAAAAAAAAACCTAAAAGATTTAAATAAATAAAATCCGAAATGAAAGAGATGTTCCAACTGATACCAAAGAAATACAAAAGATCATAAGAGACTCCTATAAACAATTATATGCCAACAAATTGGACAACCTAGCAGAAATGAATACATTTCTAGATATATTCAACCTACAAAGATTGAATCATAAAGATATCCAAACTGATCAATAAATAGAAAGGTGATTGACTCTGTAATCAAAAACCTCCCAACTAACACAAGTCCAGGACCAGAGGTCTTTACCAGTGAATTCTACCAAACACTTAAAGAAGGATTAGTACCAATCCTTCTCAAATGCTTCCAAAAAATAGGAAAGGAGAGAACTTTTCCAAACTTATTTTATAAGGCTAGCATTATCCTGATACCAAAACCTGACAAGGATACCACAAGAAAATAAAATTATATCCAGTCAGGAAATGGACAGAAGACATGAACAGACATGAACATGTCTTCTAAAGAAGACATACAAATGGCCAACAGACACATGAAAAAATGCTCCACATCACTTGTCATCAGGGAAATACAAATCAAAACCACAATAAGATACCACTTTATACCAGGTAAATGGGTAAAATTAACAAGACTGGAAACAACAAATGTTTGTGAGGATGTGAAGAAAGGGGAACCCTCTTACACTGTTGATGGGAATGCAAGCTGGTGCAGCCACTCTGGAAAACAGTATGGAGATTCTTCAAGAAGTTAAAATACAGCTGTCCTAAGACCCAGCAATTGTACTACTGGGTATTTACCCCAAAAATACAGATGTAGTGAAATGAAGGGGCATCTGCACCCCAATGTTCATAGCAGCAATGTCCACAATAGCTGAACTGTGGAAGGACCAAGATGCCCTTCGACAGATGAATGGATAAGAAGGTGTTGTGTGTGTCTATAAATATATATATATATATACACACACACAATGGAATATAACTCAGCATCAGAAAGGATGAATACCTACCATTTACATCAATGTGGATGGAACTGGAGGATATGCTAAGTGAAATAAGTCAATTGAAGAAAGACAGTTATCATATGGTTTCATTCATATGTGGAATATAAAAAATAGTAGACGGAACCATAAGGGAAGGAAGGGAAACTGAATGGGAATAAATTAGAGAGACAGACAAACTACAAAAGACTCTTAACTCTGGGAAATAATATGAGGGTTGCAGAAGGGGAGGTGGGCATGGGGTTGGGGTAACTGGGTGATGGGCATTAAGGAGGGCATGTGATGTGATGAGCGCTGGGTGTTATATGCAACTGATGAGTTATTGAAAACTACATCTGAAACTAATGATGTTATATATGTTGGCAAATTGAATTTAAATTTTAAAAAAAGGAAAAGAAAATTATAGGCCAAAAAAAAAAAAAGAAAAGAAAAGAAAATTATAGGCCAATATCCCTGATGAACACTGATGCAAAAATCTTCAACAAAATGTAATTAAACTAAATTTAACAATGTATTAAAAGGATCATACACCATAAACAAGTGGGTTTATTCCATGGGTGCAAAGAGATGGCTCAATGTCTACCAATTAGTGAAGTGATACACGACATTAACAAGATGAAGGAAAAAATGAAAAGATCATTTCAATAGATGCAGAAAAAGCATTCTGACAAAATTCCACAGCCACTTAGATAAAAAGTCTCAAAAAGATGAGTATTGAGGGAACATACCTTAACATAATAAAGGCCACATATTACAAACCCACGGGTAACATCATATTCAACAGTAAAAAGCTGACAGCTTTCCCTCTAAGATCAGAACAAGACCAGGATGCTAATCTCCCCACTCTTATTTGATACAGTATTGCCAGTCCTAGCTACCGCAATCCGGCAAGAAATAAAAGCATCCAAATTGGAAAGGAAGATGTAAAACTGTCACTATTTGCAGATGGCATGATATTATATATAGAAAACCCTACAGACTCCATAAAAAAAAACTGTTAGAACTAACAACTGAATCCAGTGAAGTTGCAGGATACAAAATCCACATATAGAAATCTGTTGCATGTCTATGTGCAAATAAACTATCAGAAAGAGAAATCAAGGAAATAATCCTATTTACAAAGTATCAGAAATAATAAAATGCCTTCAAATCTGCTATCTGTGGAACTGCCGCCAAGATGCAGATTTTCATGAAAACTCTTCCCGGAAGACTATCACTCTTGAGGACTGAGCCCTCAGATACAGTAGAAAATGTAAAGGCCAAGATTCAGATAAGAAAGGAATTCTTTCTCATCAGCAGAGACTGGTCTTTGCTGGCAAGCAACTGGAAGACGGGTGTGCTCAGTCTGACTACAACATTCAAAAGGAATCCACTCTTCATGGTGTGTTGAGACTTCGTGGTGGTGCTTAAAAAAAAAAAAAGAAAAAAGGAAAAAAAGTCTTATACCACTCCCAAAAGAAGAAGCATCGGAGAAAGAAAGTTAAATTGGCCGTTCTGAAACACTATGAGGTGGATGAGAATGGCAACAGCAGTGGCCGGCATGGGGAGGACCCTTCAGGTGGATGTGGTGCTGGAGTTGGTGGGGCGAGCCCCTCGGACAGACATTACTGTGGCAAGAGTTATCTGACCTATCGCTTCAACGAACTGGGAGACAAGTAATTGTATATAGGTTAGTAAAAGACATGAACTAATATTTAAAAAAAAATAACAAAGTGCCTAGGAATAAATTTAACCGAGGAGGTGAAAGATTGGCATACTGAAAACTCTAAGACGTTAATAAAAGAAATTGAAGGGGCGGGGCTAGATGGCAGAGGGGTGGGGTCCCCGAGTCACCTGTCCCCATCAACTTACCTAGATACTTTCAAGTCATCCTGAAAATCTACGAATTCGGCCTGAGATTGAAAGAGGGAACAGCCGGAATGCTACAGAGGGAAGAGTTTGCACTTCTAACAAGGTAGAAAGGCGGAAAAATAAGTCAATAAAAACAGCATCCAGTGGAGGAGGGGCCCCCCCGAGGAGCCGGGTTAAGGGGGGCGGCGGGAGCCCGCAGGACAGGAGAGCCCCGTCCGGGAGAATCAGGAGCTTCACCAATCTTCCCAGATGGAAAGGCGCTTGCAGGGAGCTTGGGCAGGACCCCAGGAGGGGCGGGGATGCTCTCAGGCTCCCAGGGACACTAACAGAGGGGGTGCGCCCCAGGGGAGAGCGCGCCACACCCGCGGCCGAGCTCCCTAAAGGGCTGCAGCGCGCACCCCGGGGCCTCAGAAGAAGCTCGGGCAGCGGCTCCGCATGGAGGGGGCTGTGCGCCCCGGGAGCGCAGTTCCAGCGGCGGAGGCCCTGGAACCCCGGGGGACACAGCCCAGGATCCGGCGCTCCCCTCGGGACAGGTGGAGGCGGCGAGGGCCCAGGACAGTGAGGACGCTCCTGCCGCCGGGCGCCCCCAAGCTGTGCAAATCAGTGGCCCCGCCCCCGGAGCATCCAGGCCCCTGCGGACTGGGAGCTGCGGTAGTTACTGCGGGAGCTGAATACAGGGCTGGAGAGCTGGCCGCCACCACTGTTGTTCCTCCTGGTGTCACCCTGTGCCGGGAGGGGGGCGGGGTGCCAGGGAACAGGGGCCTCATGGGGTAAACAGCCCCCACTGAGCCAGGCACCTGGCAGGGGGCGGGGCAGCTCCCCCAGGTGCGCACACCTGAGAGCACAGCATGCCCCTCCCCCAGAAGACCAGCTGGAAGGACAGGGGAAGAGCAAGTTCTTGACTGAGCAGCGCTAGAAAGCTCCAGGGTAAGTCCAGGGATTTACAGTATATAGAACCAGAGGATACCCTCCTTGTTTTCTTTTTTCTTTGTTTCTTTGTTTTTTCCATTTTTTAAAATTTTATCTTCCTTTTTTCAGTACAACTTGTTTTTAGCAACTCTGCACTGAGCAAAATGACTAGAAAGAAGAACTCACCACAAAAGAAAGAATCAGAAATAATCCTCTCTCCCACAGAGTTACAGAATTTGGATTATAATTCGATGTCAGAAAGCCAATTCAGAAAGAAGCACAATTATAAAGCTACTGGTAGCTCTGGAAAAAAGCATAAAGGATTCAAG